TTTTTTCTTGAGAAGAAAAAAGCCAACTTGTTAAGTGATGAAAGCACCCTTGGGTTTAATTTTGTATATATATTTTGCTCCCGACATTGGCTGGTTGATAGGAACTGCTGATACGTTTGCTGCTACCAACTTTTCATCTTACATTTTACATTTATATCTCTCATATATTTCATGTTCATCTCACCTCCCTCAGTCTTCAAATATAACAAATAGCCTGGCGAAAAATTGGCTCCATTGGCATTATTTCGTGGGTGGAATTGCAATATATTTTGTGGCATCAGCAGTTTCTATTTGGCAAACCTCGGTTGTGGCAACCTGTGAGATGGAATAAAACCTAAATAGTGAACTGTTATTTTCAAAGTCAGTTGGACAGCTTTTAGAAGTACTCTCTATCTCATTTTTTTCTATTATTGATTTTCTATTTGCTTTTGACATCTCTTATTTTGAAGTCCCTATGTAATACACCGAACGAAAGGGAAGAATAAATTTCTTAGGTTCTTGAGAAGTTATATTTTTGTGTACCTTAAGCTATATACTTTACACTTATTTGTGTGCTGAGCTTGATATTATTCTCTCATGTCATTGCAGAATGTTGCTCAAGTCCCCTGGCATCTGATAGCTCTTATAATATTTTTTGCGGTGCTCAAGTTTCCGGGGCCTTATTACCCGTACTGGGGACGTATTTTAATACCGCACTTTGCAAATGGGGCTTTATGGAGGACTTTATGGTTCATGTTCCTATGGTACCGCAGGCCCCTAAAGACGTCAGAAAACAACCGACCCAATCCTTCTATTGTTGACAAAAATTCTAAACCAGACGGGACCTAGGAGTAGTTAAATTTCTGCGTAGAATATTGCATCTTGACAGTACAATTTGATAATGACAGTAGTGGAAGCATGACATTATGATATTTCGATATTCCTGCACTCTTTTTTGAATCATCTGTTCTTTTTTTGCGGTTATTACTGTTGGAAAAATCAGTTATAAAATATGGGTTTGACCCGATTTTGACTGAATTTTTTATGGCTAAATATTTCATTTGAGTTGAATTAAATATTGTAGAAAAATTCTACGTTCCGAGTAGATACTCGTGGTATATTTATTTTCTCAAAATTGATTTTCGGTGAGTGAGAAATAAATTGTTAAAGTTAGCCATAAAAGGGCACGTAAAACGTTGGTTGTGGGATTTGAAGAGTCAAGAGTCAATCCCAC